ACCAAAACCTTGCCAGGCAAACCCAACACAGATATACATCAGAAAAAGGAATGGGTAGCTGTAAACCTATTTGTGGGATTTTGTTTTTCTGTTTGGCTTTATTGGGGGGACAAAGTGGAGAAGGGGACAATAATTTCAACAACGATAGCACCTCAAAGTAGCTGGAAGGGCTGGCAACACAACATACAATACAATGAAAGCATTTTACCAATGCATTGTGTCTTTGGTATACATTACTGTAGCAATTTGTTTTCATCACAAAATTTTAGTAAGGACATACTACTCAGATTGCAAGCATTTGTGAAAATCTTGAACCTTCCTTTGAACCATAGAGTGATATTGCTTTGATCAATAATTGCTGTAAGCTTTTCTATTTTATTTTAATTTTGTTTTCCATTGTGTTTGACTGTTACTTTGCATAGATAAACCACTGTGGCCCCAGGATACTTTTACAAATAAGCGAATAGTCTCAAAGATTTTAATTATCCTGGTTAAATAAAAGTTACTATTACTCCCGCTACTTGATGGGAATTCTAATTACTATTAAGTCTGTTCTGGTTTTCCTTGTGTGACATATTTTTAAAGATCAAGTTAAATGATGTTCTGTAAATTGCATCTTTACGATGTATCTTATTCTCATTAAATCAGGTTTACATGAGAGCTTTAAAGTATTTAAAAAGTTTGTGGAAACAGTTTAGCTAGCGTACCTCACTCCATCGCCCAGTAGGTACCATTAAATATGATGACAAATCTTCCACAGCACATATGTACACTTACAAAGAATTACCACTAGTATACTTTCTCACAGAGCAGCCATGATATTGCATGGATTGTAAAACTTACACAATTATAAAAATTTTCTTGGCATTAATTTTTCAGTTGCCAAAACAATAATATTAAGAGCAGGCAAAGAGTATCTCCTCATTTAAACCCTTGCTTATTATCCAGGTGAGTAAAGGTGAGGAAACTGTTAAACATACCTGATAGTCATAACACTTCAGCTGTATTTCCTGGTGTACACTACTGCTCTGCACAGAATTATTTTTGCATTTGAATATAATTTGAATTGCACGTATCTTACTAAACGTTAGTCATGCTGGTTAAACAAAAGGTCAAACTCCTGAATAACACAAATAATTCTCCAGTGGAAATACCAGGTATGTTGTAGGTATCTAGGTTACCATGTTAATTATTTTTTTAATCGTTATGACACACTTCTTATGCATAAAATTTTAAATGAAACCTGTTAGAAGCTTACTTCAATGTCCTTCAAAATGCAGACTAAAGAATGATGGATACTAAAAAGATTTTAAGAACACACTTGTACTTAGAGTTGCACTATTTTTCTTGTGCAACAGCCTGTTTTCTTAGAAGTGACTTGTACTTTGAAGGAATCTACTCCCATCCTTAATAGAACACTAATAATGCAATACATCTTTTTTTATTAATCCTCTTGTTATGAGTGTAATGCCTTAGGTGGTAGATAAGGTAGATTTGTCACAGGAAAATGAGACTGTCTGCACTGGAAACACAGACCATTATTTTTGTTCTGGCTTTGCAATTCAATATAGACATCATGACAAGTCTGCTTGGCCTACCCACCATTCAACAAATGACACTTGAGATTCCATCCTTTCTTAATAGATGCTTTCTTATTATTTTGTATGTGCCATTGGCAAAGGACATGCTGCAGAGCACTGCAGTCTGCTGCGCTGATTTGAAATCCAGCTCAAAACCTGAATTCTTCTAAATATATGCAAAGAATCTGCATGGCAACCAGCGAACCACATGAATGATAATTCAGCAGCTGTAAATGGACTCTATATGAATAGCAACCTACTGTCTTCCATACAAGCTATGCCAGAAAAATCCTGTTTGGTGGTGAATGAGTAATACTCCAAAACCAATGTGACTTAAGATTACTTGCTTCGGTGGATTTTAGAACATACTAAAAAGAACACTTTCAATGGAGAAGGACATTGCTACTGTTTGTTATTATTTTCATCCTCTGTAATGCAGGATGTCGTTCACTGGGCATGTATAACACAAAGGATGTTTATATCACTCTCTAAACAAAAACAAAAAAGAGAGAAAATTTCTTTTCACTTGCCTGACTTGCTTAGAACTAGACATCTCAAAGACAGGCCTCTAATCCTGAGCCTATTATTAATTACTCATTACTGTGAGAAAGAAGTCTTTACAGCACAGTGTCTTATCTCTTAACTCATATTGACCCTTATATTCTATTTTTTCTTTATTAAAATGCAGAATTCAACTTACCTGACAAGTGAAAGCTATTGGGTCAGCCACTTTCTGAAAAATGTGCTCAATCTCCTCCAGTACAGTATAGTACTCAATTTGCGCTGTGGTCTTAATGAGTTCTCCACAGTAGACATTTACATAGACAGGGCCAGCAGGAAAATCTTATAAAACACAAATCAGAACAGTAGCTGAAAATATTTTACAATCCCAGACCAGAAGTTTTGAGTAATGAGTAAAAGAACAGGAAAATATCACAGAAAATGCATAAAGTTGATGAACTGGATTTGCATTTTACACATGATTCAATGTAGTCAGTTTTTTATCCAGGTCTTTCAGTCTAACATTAAAAAGCTGACAAAAGAAAATACCTATCCGTGAATCTGTTCAAAACAAAGCTATCATATTGCTTCCCATTAGAAAGGGGATGAAAACAGTATGCTTCAAATTTCCAACTTCCTTTTGATAGATTGATAACCTATAATCAGGTCCTTTATGCCTACAAATTAAGGAAAAGTTCATTTATTACAAATAGTGGAATTGCTATTCATCTTTTGAAACATTTTTCTTAATTGCAGGCAAAGTTCTCAAAATTGGATTTGAACTAGGCTGCAGAAATTGCAGTATAATTACTTCCATTCCAGTTGTTTACCTAGTTAAAGCAAAGGAAAGAGGCATTTGTACAGTCTGTTACTTAAGAATGACTTGCTCTGTGTATGCAGCATGAGTTCTCTTTATGAGCACATTTTATAATTCATTAGTATTCATTGTGCCAGGCATCCTGCTGGACCATACCAGCACGAGCATGGTTTTCTTAAAAGTCTAAGTGTACCCACAAAAGAGCAATAAAAATGGGCAACCCTGAAGATGGAGAAGAGTAATAGGGCTAAAGAAACTAAATGAATAGAATATCATCTTAAATCACTTAAATGAAAACGGCCCAAATGCCTTTTTTTCTTCTTCAATTTTTCTTATAACATCAGATCAGCTGGACCCTTATTAAAAAAAAGGGTCCTCCCAAACTTCCAACGTTTTGAAATTTTGAAACAAAAGCCTACAGAGAGAAGCATTAAATACAAATGATATACAAAACAAACTTAAGCTGCAGCTCTCTGCTAAATTTTTCACAATATTTCATTTACTGTTCATATTTTATTTCCTCATCCACTGTAGAAACCTTCCTGTGATCAACAATGTTCTCACAGAATAATTCTGGAAGAATCCTTTAAGATCTGTGAATGAGGATTTCAGCTTTCCTTCTCTGAAATCCAGTTATAGATGAAAGTTTCCTGTTGGTCATATACTTCCTAATCAGGTCTCTGAAAACAAACTCTTTGCATCATCACAGTGATAAAGAATGCTCAGGCCGTATGCTGCCATCGTCTCAGGACAGTGTTCAGGATGAAAATCAGGCCACAGAACTACCCAAACATAGCTCCTAGAAGCCACTGTTGAAAACTGTAGCCTATATAACTATATATCTTTCTATCTAATGTTTTATTTCAATGCGTTCAGAATAAAATATAAATTTCTTCAGGAATTCAGAGCATGCACTGCAGTAGAAAGCTACAGTTTGACTACTTAGGTGAAGAATTTTTAAATTCTTAACTCACATCAAGTGAGTGAGGATAGGTGTGGATCTGCACAGATCTCCTAAGAGAAACTGTTGTTAACTAGTTGAAACTGTAGGCAACTAGTTAAGGATGGAGCGGTTGAAAAAAATCATTAGAAACCAGCAGAGCTGAGTGATACAGAGAAATGGCATAGACACGAACAAAGAAAAGAAATTATTTCCTGTGTCAGTTAGAGTTATAGAGTATAACCAAATTTACTGCATAAAATATAAAATGAAACATTTTAGTAATACAATAACAAGAAAAGACTATTAGCTTTGCATTTTATGGCAGTGATTTTGAAGAATGTTAATCTGTGACTAATCAATGACGTTTTAAGACTGCCACCTGCCATTTAACCACACAAAAACAATCTACTAGAACCTAGTTTCCCATAAATCATAAGGCCTTGCTTCTCTGCGTTATTAATAAATGTTCTGTGCGCAAAACTCATGTAGAGGAAACACCTACAAAATAGTGGGAAGTGAAACTACTGAGCAGAAAAAGTGAAGGGAGTCCAAAATTTTCTGTTTACTTAAAGGTAAAGAATGTTTTTCTTACCTAAGGCTTTCATGTACTTGACCTTCTTATTCCAAGAGGCTGGCTGTGTCCTAATTCGTTGATTATCTGCTATGAATTCAATTTCTAAAGTTTCATCATCTACTTCATCTTTCAACAAAATGAATATTTCACCAGGGTTCTATAAAATTAAAATATGTTCCCGTTAGTCCTTCAGAAAATTATACTGAAAGTGTAAAATGCAAATGAAAACATAAGTTGGAAGGAAAATTCCTTTACCAATAGCTTCATACAAAAAAATCATAATATCAAAACATGATGCCATCTCAGTGTTATCCTTTAGTATTACGCTAACATAAATAACACAATTAATGTAGTATTTTAAATCCAGCTTACCTAACAATATTTCTAAACAGTATTTTAAATGCATAGGTAGGTGAATTTTTACATTTTCTAAGACCACTCTACTTTATAGTCTAGAAGAGTGACATTCAGCCTAATAAGATGACCCTAAAATACTTTAGAGTCACTTAAACTCTTACAGTGAACTGACAGTAAAAACGGAAGCAGCAGGTAATGGGAGACAATACCCTTCTGAACTGGAGGGAAGGTTACTCCCTTAGAATCGTACTGACCTCAACAATGAAATAATACGTGTAAGCCATCTTTGAAAGACAGATAGTAAGCAAAATACGGGACATTCCACGTACACTGCAACCTCCACACTGACCGTGGCCACTCACTTATATAAAAGAATAGAGTGCTGGATATTGTACTTCCTCTGTTTACATTTTCACGTATTTTCCTCACAGCAACTCTGATTAAAAACAAACACATATGAACATTTGTGTCCATCGGATATGCGGATATGTATATATAAATATTTCTGATTTAATTTAAAATCAGACAAGGTATATGCTCACACAAGCACTTGCTGTGTAACTCGTGGTATGGACACATATGCATTTACGCATGTAGTCATCATGGATTCTTCCCAAGAGACACTTCATACTTCTCAAGAAGTGCCTGACTACATGCTCCCTCTAAACTACAAGGTCCATGTGACAGTAATATCTCTACCCAAAATGCCAAATAATTCTAATAGAGATAAAATCCCTCAGAGGCAGTCTCAAAACTATTTTATTTGCGAATCTTTTGGCTGCATTGTGGATGTGACACAGAGGCAAAATAAATCCCATTGTAGTCTCTATGCACTCTCATTTTGGCCCTTATCTGCTGTTTGTTTTCAAAACTGTTATAGTATGAATGAGGTTG